CATCGCGGTGCACGCCAAGGGGCTACCAAAACGCGAAAATCTCAACATACCTTCCATTTGTATTTTCAGAGCTTTTGGGGACCTTTATGACAGCGTGTGAATTGCCTGATATGGAAACTATCAAATCATTTTTCTTCTAAATAAATGCCACGACCGTCATTATTGCACGGGGAGTGTTTGTGTTACTATTCAGCACTTTCCCCGGAGTCATAGCATCGATTTTGACTGAAAATATATGTCGGAGTGAACCTCATCAATTAGACACGTGATAGATCAGCTGGTCGGTAACGTCCGGAAGGCAGCAACTCGAGCATTTACAGAGCACAAATTGTGCTATAGCTCCGGCGTGACTTAGCCTTTAAGATCTTCTGAATGAAAGAGAACCAAGAAATACCCCTCAAAAAAATCGAAAGTTTGCTGAAGTGTTTTTGGCACAAATCGGAGCCAAGGGGCCAGTTTCCAAATTTCATACCAAAAAATATTTTCGGACGTCGAAGGGACCCCTTCCTCCCTAACCCAATAAGGAAATTTCTTATCTTGGTAGCCCCTTGGTGCACGCCACTCGCGACTGCGGGACCGTGCTAGAGATCGTCGAGGGCTTCGCGAACGAGAGCGGTGGTCGCGCTGTCAATAAGAATCTTGCGCTCGGCTCCACTCGTGGCGCTGGCGGGGAGGGCTGCGCCTTAGGTTTCAGTCATATCAAAGTGGCAACGCAAAATGTCAACAGAGCCGCAATGAGGACACCTCGAGCTGTTGTGGCCAGCAATATACACTTATTCAAACTCATTAACCTGAGTGGAGTAGGGAATACAGTGACAGAGTGGCCAAACTGAGAAATTTCACAGTAAAGAAGTTGGGTGCTTCGCAGCCAGGATCTCAGTTAACGTACAAGGAAGCTCACTCAATGTATCCCACGGTCTCCGCGCTCTCCCCTACCTGTAATCGCTGCAACGCCAGAATTCGCTATTTTGGCTCCCCGCACATTTCTCGATCCCAATGGACCCAATAGAAGAGACGATCGCTCTCCGACCCTTATCCGATATAGTGGGAACAAATATCCCTGCTTTCATCTCTTCTCTTTGCTTGCAATCTCTGCGGCAGGCGATCCGGGTGCCGCCACTTCCGGTGCGCCTCCCTGCCCTCGCAGCCATTATACCGGCGAACTTTCGTCAGAGTTTACAAATAGAAGCCCTAGTATGTTATGCCCCCCTTTTCCTGCACCCCACAAAACCGCTTATCACAAAACCGCATATTTTGCTGCTTTGCATCCCCCGCCGATATTCACGCCCTGGTCGGTTTTTTTAGTCCCCTGGCCCGCATCCTCGCACCTGAGCACAGTACATCTTCCACCGTGCTTAGGCGCCCGCCACAAAGTTCGCCTTAGCGCTGGCATTCTTTCCGCCCTTCTGCCCACGCATGCGATGCTGAGAAGCGCTACTTGCACCACAGGCCTACAGCCGGGCATCTCGCGCACCAGCAGCTAGATGGGATCAGGTGAGCGATCCGGCGCCGCATCCCCGTAGAGAGGTTACGCATCGCCTTGTCGAGGAGCAACGTCTTGCCTCCGCTGTTCCCCGTACTTCCACCCTCCCCTTGCGCTGCTCCTGCTCCCCTCCGCGCCCTTGCGCCCAACCCGTCGACGACGATGCGGATAGCGAACCAGCGAGGTATGAGGATGATGCTTGCATACTAACCAACTAACACACTTGTGGAATACCATTCATGTCGGCTCAGATATTCCATATTTTTCCTCGCAATATTCGGGTTTTAGCGCCCGCGGCGCTTATTATTCATCAATATCAATGCCACCAGTAGCTTTATTTTCCGGATTGGAGAGCTCGGCTTTGCCGAGGGACCCAGCATTTATGGGTGCCCGATACAATTATTCAAGGCTATCTACTAGCATCTAGTTCTCTTCAAGTGTGCCCATCGGAGCACAGACATGTCGTAGATACCCACCTAGCTTTCAAAAGGTTGCAAGACTCGAAACGTCGAATTCGCACTGCACGTTCTTTCCTCTTGCAGTGGCATCCGGAAGCTCATGCTGTTCGGGCACTATCTCACAATACTCCCTGCACTCGAGAAGATGCAACTACGGCAGTTGACCGTCGAGCTTCAAGTACTTTTACGTGGTGACTCAGCGATCGATCCAGCCCGCCCCCTCTTTCGCGCACTCACTTATCTTCACCTCCTCGGTCGCCCTAAAGGACTAAATTTCGAAGAACTCCCTGCCCTAACACATCTCTGTCTATCCGATTCCGCTAGCCTGGGCCTCGTCTCTTCCACCCTGGCAAATTGCAGCAGACTCCGCGTGCTGGTCACCATGTTCCGGAGTCCGCTGCTGGGGATATACGACCAAATACAGTTGCAGATCGATGACCCGTGCCTCGTTCTGATGTCGCTTTCCTTCGAGGAGTGTATGGAGGATTGGAAGCTCGGTGTGAAGGGGGGAAGGGACTTTTGGTTCCACGCAGAGAAGTTTGTTGCGAGCAGGCGACGCGGCGAAATCGAACCTGGCATGTCCTGCCGCACCCGCCGAAACACCCCGCTCACTGTCCTTGCCTCCCTTTTAGCCTGGCGGTGCTGGATTGAAGACTCTGACTTCATCAACTGAGATCACTCAGTTCCTTTTTTGCACTCATTGTACTTTGGGGAACCCGCCCACGAAAAGATATGTATGTTCGTCATGCAGAAGCTATTCACGCAAATGTCGAATTCTACCAAATGGCTGAAAGTAGTACTTCCCCAGCGTCAGCCTTGAATCTGATCTACACCGAGAGTAACAAACATACCACCATCGCGAGCGCTCATATCTTGTAGACCATATGATACATCACCCAGATATTTGTGCGGAACTCTGTCCGCGCTCCATGACACAGTCAAAAGTCTTGCCTCGTGACTGGCCTGGTATGAGACTCCTCTCCATGGGCCATTGTACGGCTGTGATAATCATATCCCATTGATAATCAGCAGAAGAATACTCAGAGCGCAGTGCGGATCAAGAATCTGCAATAAATTTACATACAGTAACTCGACCATCTTTCAAAGTCAGCAACAGCCTCTGGATGAATATATAAGGAGCTTGAAATGAACTGACAATGCACGAATAATGGATGAATGGGACTCTGATTGATATACTGGGAAAAGATCGAGGGAAGGGGAACAGAGGGCGAGTGCTTCCTACCTAGGTGCGTTCCAAAAAAGGCAACGCTCCAGGCAGTGTGAACTTCAACTTTAGGGTTGAATATTGAACGTTAGTCTACCGTGACTGAATGCGCCATGTAACCTTCTGGGCTGGGAAGAAAGAAGGAAAAAAAGTGCCGATGAAAGGGAAAACCAAATTGCCGCACGTTTGCCTCCGAGGAGAATGAAAGATACTTCTTAGAAAGCTCGTAATGACGAAAAAAGGAACCAATGCATGTGTGATTTTTTATTATTAAAATAAGTAAATGAAAACTGATTAATTTTGTTTTAAAAATAGAGGACACGTCGCGCAGTCATATTGGATCCTTCACTGGCCACCGACAGTGCCTTCGGCTCCACAATCCCATACCAATGCCGAACACAGACCCCCACGTCTCGCCCCGCATCCCCCGAAGAAGCGAGGCGTGTACCACACACAAACGGCGCCAACGCAGCATGGTACATAACGCAGGCGCCCAACCCAGACAGAACAGACCCTGCGGGCCTCGCTCGCAGGGGAGGAGCCACAGTGCGCACCCTGCAAACGCGCGCAACCCCCAAAGCGACCACCGCCGACGCCGAGGGTTCTTGAGCCCCGGTGCCGCAGCACACACTCCCCCCCACTACCGCGCCGCGACGAACGCGCAACCCCATACGAACGCCGACGCAGTCCATCATCGTCCATTGGACAGGCACTGAGGCAGCCTCCAAAGCCACAAGCCGCCGTGCTCAAGAAGGAGAACCCGCTGTCTTAAAGAAGGCAAACCCCCCCCCCAAAAAAAAAAAAAAACAGCGGATCGAAAGAATCCCAAAAACGACAGACGAAGGAACGAAAGATGATGATGATGATGGGAGACTCACTTGAACGCATTCACGCCAGCCTGCCACTCGCGGCCGAGCTCGATGCGGATCTTGACGCTCTTGTAGATGTCCTCCGCGCCGCCCTGGTAGTCGACGCCGAGCTGTTGGGGCCAGTTAGCGGGATTGCGTGTTCATAGAAAAATAGATAAAGGGAGAGACTATGAGGAAGGAAAAGAAAGACGCACTTGCAGAATATCCCCGTCCTTGATCTGGTGCGGGCGAGACTCGGTGTTGGCGGGCGACAGGCAGACGTGATTGAGGAACGTCCCCGAACTGCTCTTCGTGTCCCGTATATAACACTTGACCCCCGCACCACCACTTGCACCCTCGACCCACACCTCCGCATGCGCGCGCGAAACCACCTTGCTCATAAACGCAATCTTGTTCGAGCTCAGCGCATTCACCGCACTCAGGCCTGAACCGCTCCGATCCGCAAACCGTCCAATCCTCAGCGCCGGCTCGCCCGCGCGCAGGTCGCGCGCAATGGGGTCGAAGCACAGGCTTCTGCGCGAGTCGAGGTGTGGAACGAGGCGCAGGCGGTGCGTTGGCGCTGCTGCGTTGTTCGCGGTATTCGCGGTGGTCGCGGCGGGGGCAACGGGCGGCGGGACGGCTGCTGCTGCTGTGGAGGGTGGCAGCGGCATGGGTGCGGGTACGCCTGGTGTCGGCGCTGAACCTGCTGTGCCGACGAGTGCGCCGGCGCTGCGTCTTCTTCGGAGCATCCCGCTCAGGCCGGCGCCGCTCATGCCCATGCCGATTGCGCTCACCGGCTGCTGCGCCCGACGGCGGGCACTCCCGCCGGCGTTGGCATTATGCGCATTGGATTTACCTTTTTTTAGTTCTCAAACCATGCCAAGCACATTTCTGAAGAGGTGCAATATAAGCAGTCAGTATCTCGAATCTGAATCAACCCACTGGCCAAAAAGAAGGAAAAAAAAGATGAGAGAATGTACCATATATGCCCTGGGGAGGATTCGAACCTCCGTCTCCTACATCAATGCGTTCATGCTCTACTAAGCTGGTGTGGGTGATTTCCATTAATCAACCAGGGCTTCATGGTTTTCCAACGAACCTGGATATACCTGCACATTAATATATCCAATTGCTAGAAGCATGTATTTCCTTCAAACAACGGCTTGAAAACAACAGTAGATCGACCGGAATCTGTTTACAAGCCAGATACACTAGTGTCTCGAAGCTAAATCCAACTTGTAGAAAAACATGTCGAGACTTATATGCCCTTGGAAGGATTTGAACCTCCGTCTCCCGTATCAATCCGCTTATACAAAGGATATCTCAAAGGGTGTGGGTGATTCCGATTAATCAACTAGGGCTTTATACCCCTCAAATGGAACCGGATATACTTGCCCATTTCTTGGGCACCCGATAGACAGGTTTTACATTCGCAGACTGCAAGCGAATACAGTTGAAAGCAACAGCGACGATAAATTCACTGGAAATCTATCGGTTCAAGTATATGAACACATGAATATCCCGAATCTGAAACAAACGGAAAAAGATTTCCCCGACTCATATGCGCTGGGGAGGATTCGAACCTCCGTCTCCCACATCAGCTGGAGAGATCCTTTGTATGGGTTGTGGGTGATTTCTATTCATCAACCAGGGCTTTATACCATTCCAAGAAGCCTGGATATACCGACACATTCTTCAAGGGAGCCTGAAACGCCCAGTGGGATTAATCCTGAATTTTGCTACAAGCACCTGCCTGATCAGTAAAAAAGGACGGTCCAAGTGCATAATACAGACAGAGATGTGCAGCAGGATCGTACAAATGAGACTTTGTAAAAAAAAACCCCATATTTTAAGAACGGCACGCTCCGTGGAAGACAGCGTTCACAAGTGGGACTCTACACCATCAACCAACTGGAAGCATCTACGTCAGAAGTTATTCAATACCATCTCTTCACTTCTTACGATTTCAGCAGCTCGTCAAATCTGGTCCGATTCTTCAATCCAGAATCGTGAGGCTAGCAATAATAAACATCAGGTTTCGAACACGGTGAGGGCGAGGAGGAACACTTACCTGGTTTGATTTCCCCCCGTCTGCGTTTATCAATAAAGAGCTCGGCACAAGCCCACAAATCTTTCCCGCCCTGCGCGCCTAGTGTCCAGTCCTGGACGAAATGATTTATGCTGGCTTCGGTGAACATCATCACAAAGCGTGGATCAGCATCGATTGGCTGGTGCGCCTGCATCCTGTTCCAGGAACTCCAGAACCAAATCTTGCTGACCAAAACATGAAGCCTAGGGCAGCTCCGGAGAAGGTCGAGAAAAAAAGGCGGAGGTCGGGCGCCGTGCATGCCCAGGTGTGTAAGGGCGGGCAATTGAGCAATCTGGAAATCGAGGGGTTGTCCTTCAGCCCCTGCGGACATGTCGAGATGGGTGAGCGTCCGGTACAGAGGGCGACTAGGATCGATGGCGCCAAGAGTGGAACTATTGATGAACGAGAAGTGCTGCAATGCCAGCGGCATAGCTTCGAGGGCATCAATGGATCTTCACTGCGTAATCCGAGCCATTCGACATGGACAGAAAGTGGAAGAACGGGTAAGAGATCGCTGTAAGAATCCAATAGAAATAGGTGCTGGACATGTTTCAATTTGGCGGGCTGTAGATGAAGAAGATCGGTGGGATCCAGCCGCTGGGCAGCAATTCCACTTAGAACAAGAGTGGTTGGGCCCACAACAAGGGTACAGTACAAAAGAGGCTCGATCCTGGATGCAGAATATAAATTATAAAGTTCCTTGCTAATAAAATAATCCCATACCACTGCTGGACGCGCTGAGCAACTAGCAGGAGAGTGGGCATCGTTTCGGGGTGATGGGTCGCCGCAATCTCGAACATTTCTCGCTCGAGCTCCAGCGGAATCGATGGGCATGTGTGAGACATGGTCAAAGGTTGGGAGGCAGGTTGTATGTCTGTTCAAAGGGAAATTCAGCCGTGAAATAGCTTGACTGTGCTGTCGACAGAGCGGGTGTGTCAGCAACTGATGGCATCATCTCTTTTCTTCCCATAACGACCACCATTAGGGGTGCTCAATTGCTATCTCGTGGGCCCGTCCCGTGGGTTTATTTGTCCCGAACAAATAGAACTCAAACTCCGCCCGGTATTTATGCCGTTTCCAGAGCTACACTAGCTCTCAGTGGAGTTCCAATACCACTTATAAAACATGAAGAGGCTCTAATGAGCTAATGGACATTTTTCTGAGTGGTATTTGGAAATGAATCCGCGAAACTATGCGCGCAAAGCTAGTCATCAGTTATTCATACCTCCAGACCTGCTTCTACACATCAAATCTATCCAGAAATGTTACCAAAGTACTCTAGAATGTGTTATGTGATTTTGGGGCAAGATATATGCACCGTTAGCGGCCGCACCGTTGTTATAAAAAGTCTTTTTGGATGGCGGAGTTTGAATTCTATTTGTTCAGGACAAATAAACCCACGGGACGGGCCCACGAGATAGCAATTGAGCACCCCTATTGCTTGTCCTTATCGAACCTGCAGCGATACGTGGGACCCAATTAGTCCTCATACCATGGACTCTGACATTTCTCCATCGCTCCCTTTTGATCTTGAGCGAGAAATCTTCGAAATGGCTGCAAACCATTATCCGGAAATGATCCCCGCGCTCCTTCTCGTTGCGCAGCGCGTCCTTCAATGGTAGTGCATTATCTCGACATTGACAAATGACCTCTTCTAATCCCTTACTCAGGATCGAGCCTTTGTTGTACCGCACCCTTGTTTTCATGGACCACGAATCCCCGTGGGACCCAGTAGCTTTCTGTCCGGAATCCGCCAAATTGGCAAAATATGTGCACAACATGCTCATATCGGTCGCTCCCCTCGTGCCGATTTCGCACTGCGCGTTCTTTCTTCTTGCAGTGGCATAAGGAAGCTCACACTGTTCGGGTCCTATCCCACAATGCTCCCTGCGCTCGACAAGATGCAGCTACGGCAGTTATCCGTCGACCTTCTAGAACTTTTTGGTATTCCGGCGATCAATCCAGCCCGTCCCCTCTTCGGAGCGCTCACTCATCTTCGCCTTCTCAATAGCGCTCCAGAACTAAATTTCGGCGAACTCCCTGCCCTCACACATTTTTGTCTACCTGATCGCTCTAGCCTGGGCCTCATCTCTTCCACCCTGGCAAATTGCAGCAGACTCCGCGTGCTGGTCACCATGTTCAGGACTCGGTCTGGACTGCGCAGGTAGTCAAATTTGGACTTATCAACTGATGACCCGCGCTTGGTTCTGATGCCGCTGTCCTTCGAGTAGCAGTGTGTGGAGAATTGGAAGCTCAGTGCAACGGGGGGAAGGGACATTTGGTTACATGCAGAGAACTTCGTTGCGAGAAGGCGACGCGGCGAAATCCAACCAGGCATGTCCTGCCGCACGCGCTGAAACACGCCGCTTACCTCCTTTTTAGCCTCGCGCTGCTGGATTGAAGACTCGGACGTAATCGACTGAGATCACTCGGTTTCCTTTCTCGCACTCAATGTACTTCGAGGAACCTGCTCACGAGATATATGTATATATTCGTTGCACACGCAAATGCCGAGTCCTACTAAATTGCCGAAAGTAGTACTTCCCCAGTGTCAGCCTTGAATCTGATTTACACTAATAGTAACATACCATCGTCATGGATCGAATCCGTTTGAGGGAGGGGTCAACCTCTTCGCTGTTCTGAGCCACGGGATGTGGACGTTGGTGGTGGGTTTCACCGAATTGGGTTCGAGTTGCGTTGTTGCGTCGCCTTTGTTGTGCCCCGCAATCTATCGCACAGATCTTTGTGTGGAAATCTATCCGCGCACCACGGCGAATCAGCAAGTCAAAAGCGGAACATGGTGGTTCGACCTTGCTTCATGACTAGCCTAATTTACTACGACTTTGACTACCAAAGGAGAGCAGGTACAGGCCGGTATGAGACTCTCCCTGGGCCATTGTACGGCTGTGATAATCGTATCCCATTGATAGTCAGCAGAAGAATACTCGGAGCGCAGTGCGGACCAAGAATCTGGAATACTATACATACAAAAGCTCAATCAAATTTCAAAAGTCAACAACTTCTGGATGAATATGTAAAGAGCCTGAAATGAACTGACAATGAACGAATAGTGGATGAATGGGACTCGGATTGATATAACGGAGAAAGTTCGTTACATAGACATACCACGGGTGGTTGGGTAGGCCGTAGGTGTGACTTGAACTTTTGGGGTTGAATAGTGAACGGGAGCCATAATGAATTACTCACTACCGTCTGGGTCGTCCTCAGACGATACAGGCTCTGAGTCTACCGTGACTGAATGCGCCATGTAAACTTCTGGGCTGGGAAAAAGGAAAGAAAAAATGCCGATGAAGCGAAAAACCAAATTGCCGCACGATTACCTTCGAGGAGAATGAGAGATTCTAATCGTAATGACGAAAAAAATAAACCATGTGATTTTATATTACTGAAATAAGTAAATGGAACTGAGTAATTGTTGTTTTAAAAAATAGCGGACACGCCGGGAAATCATATTGGATCCTCCACTGGCCACCGACAGTACCGTCGGTTCCATAATCCCATACCAATGTCGAACGCCGACAGACCCCCACGTCTCACTCCGCATCCCCAGAAGGAACGAGGCGTGCACCACACACAAACGACGCCAACGCAGCACGGTACATACAGCACGCGCTCAGCTCAGACAGAACAGACCCCGCAGGCTTCCCGCGCAGCGGAGGAGCCATCGTGCGCACCCTGAAAACGCGCGCAACCCCCAACTAGGGCTGCCACCCGTGGGTCCACGGCAACGGCCCGTGGAAAAACGGCCGTGGAATGCGCTCAAAAAACTCTGACGGCACGGCACGGTTGACGGTACGGCCGTAACGGGTCGACGGCATGTCCAAAATATAAATGCACTGTGCGTTGTATATATACTATTCTGAGGGTCTCTGCTGCAACCTTTAGCTATCTGTATCTGTCCACTTACTTCAGCGTCGAAAATATGGCCAGGATGCAGTCAGAAACCCGGTGTTGAAAATATTTCTTCAT